GTCGCTTCTCCTTTCATTTCATTTGTGGTAACAAACTGCTGTTTTATATTTGTTTGGCCATTTGCTGCCATTAGGCGTTGGGTGTGTACACGTATTGGCACCTGAACTTTTGTATAGGGGTGGGGTAGAAGGTGTAAGACTTTTGACCTCCTTCAAACTGTGGGTAATGAGGAAGCTTTCCTTTTATTAGACTTAGAGTGGATACTTGTGTGTGTGGTGTGTTGTAGGTGTGTGTAGGTGTGTTGTGTGTGTGTAGTGTGTGTAGGTGGTGTAGGTTGGTGTGTAGGTGTTGATGTTTGTTAGTGTGTTTGTTGTGTGACACACTTTGTTCTGAGTTGTCCTTAATAAAATGAGTTAGGGGCTGGTAAAACATGTTGTGTTGTGTTGTCAGTGGTTGAATGGTGGTCGGGGAAGGGTTGTATGTTTGGCGTTTCGGGCCTACTAGGCCACCTGTGTTTTATTCATCGGGAAGGTGGGTTTTGTGTGTGGGCATTGGTGTGGCTGTTTGTTTGTTGGGGGTTGTGTGGTTGTTGTTATTTATTTAAGGCGCCACTTTTGGGTTTTTTGTGAGTTGGAGTGTTCTGGGAAGTAAAAGAAAATGAAGTTGTGTGTTTGTTGTTCCCCAGTTTAAATATTTTTTATTTTCCCTTTTTTCAACATTCTTTTTGCTTGTGGGTGTTAAAAAACTAGGTCTTGCCAATTGAGATTGATTAAAAAACTATTTAAATTATGTGTTTGTTGGGTCTTGCATGAAATTGAGTTTATATAAATTAAGGTTATCTATGGATGACAATGGGGTTGAGAAGGGAAAAAATCCATGGTTTGGAGTGGGGAGGTGTTGTGTGAGGACCTGGTGTAATGTAAGGTTGAAACCGGTTGGTCAAGGGTTAAGGCAGGGGATTGCGTTTGGCGTTTAATTATTTGATTTGGATGTTGGGTGGATGTTTTTTGGTTGATGAACAGTTGCTTGTTTACGGGAAACAGTTTGCTCTTAACTTTTCGCTTGACGGTGGAATGTAGGATGGGGGGGTGGATGAGGTGCGATACTTTTCCTCTTAAACCACAAAGCTTAAACAGGTAGCAACCCACGAGCGGCAACGTATCACACACACACATACCACACGCAGGGAACCACCACACCAAAAACATTGTAACGGGAAAGGAAAAGGAAATCTTTTTTTGGACATTCCTTTTCCCAAACACAGCTTCTGGTAATTTAACAAAATAATGATCGTCATGGTAAACCCCGGACCATAATGTTGTTTAAACTTTTTTTTGCACAAATTGACGTAAATTTGTTGAAGAGTTTATTTTTACCACATGTAACCCGTTTTCTTTTCATGCTTTATTGCCAAGGGCTATATAGGCGCTCTTACAATTTGTGCTTTTTTTCGCTTGCAATTGTTGAAATAACGGGTCTGCTTATTTAATGTTGGTCGGGCGTTTGGCATTGTTGTTGTTTGAATGCGTGCAGCTTTTTTAATCATCTAACTTTAGATACTGACCATTGACAAAAACATCAGGCGACAGCCTTTTCTTCTTTGTGGCGACCTACACGCTTGTAGTTCTCTTTTGCAGGTTTTGATTTTGAACAGAAAGATTAATGTTACCAATTACTTTTGAAATAGTTCAATTTTTCTTTGTTTTAAAATAATCCGTTTTTGCAAGATGGCACAGCTTCATATAATTTTCCATTTTGGTATGGCCCTTTTTTTTAAAAGTTGTTGTGTTGTTGTGTTTTGTGTTTGCGGGTTTCTACTTTGTGGTGGTCACTAAAGGGCGGACGCCCTTCAGACAAACGCTGTTGGAGAGTTCCCCTCGCTTTTCATTCGATCTCGAAAGGAGGTATTAACAGGTATACCTTTCTCTCATTTGTGTGGTTTCTTTATTGTTTAAAGAATGTTAATGCAATCTTCTTTATTAATTTGCGGCACTTATTAGGATTGGTCTGCGAAAAAACTCTAAATATTTAAATATGGTGTAACGTCCAATATATGTATTAACAAGTTTTGGAATGAGTTGTAGTTTGCCATTTTTCTGTGAGTTTTTTAAGTGCTGTGTTTATATATGTAAACGAGTTTGAGAATTTTTAGAGCCGTTGTATATTAATGGCAGTTCAAAAGACACAGGACTCAAACCATCGGGAACGATATTAACACCAAAAAAACAACTAAAATTGTGGCTTTGTATTGGTCGTTTGTTTTGGGCATTTAATCCCACCACCCGTTTGAACTACCCTCTACAAACTGTTAAAACTTCTTTCTTTGTTCCATTAACTTTTGGAGTTTCATAGTTTAATGTAGGGGAATGTGAGCAACTTTAGGTGTCAAAAGCAATCAGCCTCTGTTGGGATGTTTTCTATTACTTTTGGTTGGGAAATTTATTCTAATGTTTAGTGTGTTGTGTGTGCGTGGTGTTGTTGTGTGTGTGGTGTGTTGTTGCTTGTATTACTTTTATAATTATTATCCTATTATATATAAACCATTCTTTCGATTAATATTTTTGGAGTTATTATTTTTCAGAGGCAAACAGCTTAAATTCATTTTTTTCGTTCTGCCTATTAATGCTTGTTTTTTATTCCTAAGAAAACATTTTACAAAACGGATGTTTGTCCTAATTCCCTCCAAGTAACAAATTGGGCACAAAAAAACAGGGACTTTTTTTTTCTATACGAAAAAATGGGATTTAAACCCTAGCTGTCTTTTTTGTTGTAGGCCACAGTTTTGGATAACGGATGGCTTTTTTTTTCTATTTGCTTTCCGGTTTTTCTCTGCTCTGTTTTGCTGGTGTAGCAGGAGGAGGCCCCTTGGGCCTGGGCAAACCAGAAAACCAAATTTATTCGGGGCACAATTGAGGTGAAAGAGTGGGGGACGGAGGATTGCGGTTACTCATTTTTCTTTCAGGGAGGTCAGGGGTTGGTTTTCTGAGGTTTGCTGGGTTTTTTGGGACAAAGGGGGGGAACTTTTCCTTGGTGGAGGGACAAACTGATTTGTTCTGTTACTGTTTCCTTGCCAACAACAATGCTAATACTTAGTGCAGGGGGGTTGGAAAAGTTGTTTTAAAACGGAGGTTATTTGAGAGAGTTTTTGGGGTTTGATTGTATTGTATTTTAGACATTTCCCTTTGTTTTTGTGTTTGAACGGCCTTCTTGAAACAGCAGTTGTGGACAGTGTTTCCACAAAAAAAAATTCGTTGGCTTTTGTATTGGGGGAGTGTGTGTTCGCCCCACCAGGGAGGTAAGGTGCATGTAGATTACCCTGTGTTCTTGTACAGTTTATGGAGTGTGATGGCTTGTTTATTGTTAACTTTTCTTTGACGTTGTTTGGGTTTTTTGATGTTTTCTCTTTTTGTGTTTGTTGCCAACAGGATTTTCATGGTTGGAGGGGTTGGTCCCAAAGCCTTGGGGGACCCACTGGGAGTGTTCATGAGGAGATCGGGTCGAGCCATCGCAAACACTTGGGAGGTTCCCCAGGGTGGCCAGCAAGGCTGGGCCGAGGCTTTTTTTTTCAGGCTTATTGGTTGCGACAGGAAAAAACACATCCCCAAAAACTTCACACAGTAAATGGTTGTAGCATTTATTTTGGATAACTTGATATAAAAAACTAAATAATAATAATAATAATAATAAAAACACCTTTGTTTATATAGCGCTTTTCGAAGCAAGTTACAAAGCATTTAACAAAGCACTTTACAAAACAATAAGCAACAATTAATAAAATACTGCGATAAATGGGCGTTCCACAATTGACATGCCTGAACAGAGCTCTGGAGTCGATTTACAGCTCCCACTTTCCACACAGAATTACCTCCATGAAAAATAAGAATGGGACCAATCTAAAACCCAACCTAAAATTCCTACACATTAACGTGGTGCTGGTAATCCCATACCGGACACCCATGAGATTACCTGCACCATGTTAGGTCAGTTATATCAACATAATCTTATATTTGCCCTCTCAATTGTGAAGTAACTGATTTGTTGTATTTTGTGTGTTTGTAGGAGGATAAAAAGCTGGTCCATGGCTTTGTGTGTGCTAAAAATATCCTGCTGGCCAGGGACGGACTGGGCACCGATGAAGGAGGGCCTTTCATCAAGCTTAGTGACCCAGGCATCCCCATCACCGTACTCACCAGAGAGGGTAAGTACAAAGTGAAGACAGGCACATTCTCTCTCTCGCTTACTAAAAGTGAAACCTAGCTGGTTACAAAATGGGTACAATGGAAAATTTCACAATAACTTCCACTTTCTTTTCCAGTCAGCTGTAAATGACTGTGAAACCAAAATTAAATGTGCATTAAATGCCGCAACTGCTGACACATACTGACGTTGGATGATTTATTACTTATTTAAATTTTTAACACGTTTAATTGTTACATATAAACCAGTAAAATGCTTGTTGTAGCAGCTTCTATGCACTACGATGTATTCTTCCTTCAAAGTCATCCTCTGTGACCTAATTTCTTCCCACAAAAGAAAAAAAGAAAAAAAAGAACATCAGTTCCGATCAAGCAGAGGTCGTCAGTAATAGGAATCATATTTGTCACATAATCAATACACACTGGCCACATTTCCCTCTCACTCTGTAATTTATTTTGTAAAAGCTAGATCTCAGTTCAGGGAAGATGGCACAACAAGGACATTTCTCAGATTGCACAGTTCCCCTCAAATGGCCGCCTCATGTTTCTGTTTGTCTATTAGAGCTAAAAGATTTGTGTTATAACACAGTGCGCTTGTACAGATGGATCTGCAATCCGCAGGACGGACTGGGAATGTTTCTGCGCAAATGTCCATCACCACACACCCATGGGCATGCGCCTCCCTCCCTCTTTGTTCCCAGAACTCTTTAACATTTCTTCTTCTGTCTCCACCAATTTGCAGAACAATCAGTGTTCCAGTTACACATCAATGTCCTTGTGCATAGATTTGATTGATCACAGTGGATAAAGTGTTCAGAAACCCACTGGGAGGTTCCCTTCTTCCAAGCAATCTCTGATCGCTTTACTCAAGCCATCAAGTCACTTCCTCACTGTCTTTGTTTTTTTCTTTCTTCTCTCCTTATACTCAATTATCTTCTTCCCCTCTTTGCTCCTCCTCATCCTTCCCTCTATGTTCCAGTCTGAGCTGCATGCACTTACAAACAAGCGCCCTTCTGATGTTATGGATTTGTTGAGCCAAAAGCCAACCACTATCAGTTAGCCTTGCTTCCAGTCAGAGCAATATATTTCATCAAGCTGATCCCAAGGCTTTTTAGATTCAGTGGATGCAGTCAGGCAATATTGGAACCCGCCAAGTCAGCCTGTCAGTGCTATATTTTACCGTTGGTTCATGGTATTTGGAGCATGGCGAGCGTATGTTTGCTCAGATTCCATGTGGTCACACCCTAAACGTTACTTCCAAAAAGTACTCTTTAAAAATGTCAGTTATTAGTTTGCTAATTTCTTTATACAACAGAACTTGTTTAACAATTTACTGTTGACTGATCTGTGAAATAGTCCAAAATCACACATTTTCCTTAAAGGGCTTTACAATCTGCACCACATACATTACCCTCTATCCTTAGACCCATGACGTGGACCCATCAGAGAAAAGGATAAACTTCACAAAAAGCCCTCCAACAGGGAAAAAGCAAGAGGGCAAGGTTTGCCTTTGAGGGTCTCATCACTCCAAGCATTACCTTCATCTTCACTTTCGTCAAATTATATTCCGTGCTCTATATTTCTCTATATATATTATCATCTTATGTGTTTACAAAGACACCGGGAGACTGAATCCATCTTTGTTTGCCTCTGCAGAGTGTGTGCATCGTATCCCATGGATCGCTCCGGAGTGTGTGAAGAGCACGTCCTCCCTGAGCGTCGCGGCTGACAAGTGGGGCTTTGGTACCACCCTGTGGGAGATCTGCTATGATGGCGAGGTCCCCCTCAAAGAGAAGAAACTCACAGAGGTAAGGGGCACACCCAGGAACTTTGTATGACAATGACTGTATATAATCATACATGCATCTTAACTAATGCCAGCGTCTATTTCAAATCTGATGTCTTTGTGCTGAGCAGAAGGAGAGGTTCTATGAAACAGAGTGCCAACTGGCCACTCCAGACTGCAAAGAGCTGGCTGAACTGATGACCCACTGCATGAACTACGACCCCAAGAAGAGACCTTTCTTCAGGGCTATCGTCAGAGACATCGACATGCTGGAGGAAAAGAGTATGTATGAGGGGAATGTGTGTTGTTATATGTTAGGTATTTTCATGGGTGCAAATATGAAGTAAAACCTTGTTTTGGTTCTGCAGTTTTTGGTTCTTTATAGTCATAGAAACAAGCTGTTTCCCAACAGACTGTACAGTGCAGAACAGGTTAAAGGGCAGGTACAGGTTGAATTCAAGGCAGATGTTAACAGTTGTAATATGATATGAATGTTTTGCATATTTTGTATCTCACCTAGCAGCAGCCTCGTGCAAAGACAGAAAGAGAGAGCGAGAGAGAGTTGTTTACTCAGCTCAGATGTTCATGAGGAAGTTCACTAGGTGCATTACCACTGATCTGCCCCTCAGCTGGGCCCCACGGCAACATAATGGTCTCTGTTCTTCCACCTGCTGGCCAGAATCAGATACTGCACTCACTCTTACTGGAAATAAAGTCTATTACACCCCTTGACCTTCTTATATTAAAATCCCAAGATGGCTGCAAAATCATGAAATAAAATTATATAAATTGTTTATAAATTTGCACCTAAAAAGGCTCCAAAATCAGATTAAAACTATTTTTGGTTAAATAAACAATTTTATAATCATTGATAATGGTGATACAGAATAAGTCTTGCTTGAATAATGAGTTGTCCTACTAAAAGTAGCCATTTGTGTGGAAACTAGAGCATGAGAACAGTTATATAACCACAAAATTCTGGTGCACACTTTGACACTTTAAACCACAATAGACTTCCTATGACGCAAGTGCACTTATTTTGATGTTTTACCTAACATGTTTCATGTATTTGTTTCTTTTTCCATCTCATGTTTATGTATTTTGCTACTTCTCTCAGATCCATCTATCAAACCCAAGCCTACACCAGAGGTGGACCCAACTGTGTTTGAAAAGAGATTCCTCCGGAAGGTCCGAGATCTTGGAGAGGTAAACTGATGGTTTTGTGCTTTTGTGTTCAGCTCTATGCAGCATATCTTAGCATTTTATAAGCATAATTAAAATGGACAATTTCCAAATGCAGAAATAAAAGAACTTGGCCTTTCAGTTAACATGTATTGGTAAATGTTTTTTTAGATTACATCTATCTTCACTTGACGAAATACAGACAATATTAGTTACAGAACAAAGATAAGCAAGAGCAGATGCAGAACTGAAGTAATTTAGGCAATGCTGAAAAACAAGTGGTCCCACATGCAATAAGTAGAGCAGAATTTGATCACTATTGTCCAAGTAACTTCCGTTTTTAACACGTTCCTCATGCAGGGCCATTTTGGTAAGGTAGAGCTGTGTCGGTATGATCCTCGGGGAGATAGAACGGGCGAGCTGGTGGCAGTGAAGTCACTAAAGCCGGAGAACCGGGAGGAGCAGAGCACCAACCTCTCGCGTGAGATCGACATCCTGAAGGCACTCTACCATGAAAACATTGTCAAATACAAGGGCATCTGCCAAGAGGAAGGTAAGGCGGAAAGGGTGTATCCACAAAAATAAACACGATTACTAACTATAACTACTTCTATTATGATTTTGAACAGAATATTTTTTTCATTTGGATGATTAGAAGAGTTGTTGATGATTCTGAAATTATTAAAATAAATATTAAATATCATTTTATATCAAATATAAACAAATATATAATTTGGATAGAAAAATCAGGAAATGTTTTCTATATTGATCAATATTGATATTTAACACCATATATTATTAATTAGATGATGCTGCCAGTTTGAAGAGTATCCTGATAATGAAGAAACCAAAGGGTTCATGGTTAAACTTTAGAATATAGTTTATTAACATGAAAAATAACAAGTAAATATAAGTTAACATAACTTTACAAATGTTTTTTATCTGCCTGAACAAAACAAAAGTCTGCTTGCCTCGTAACTTATTAAAATAAGTGTCGTCACTAGAATGGTACCTGTTCAGGTGATGGAAAAACTCTGTTTTGCTGACCATCTCAATCTGTGCATCGCCACTTTTGAGATATCCAAACCTCTTCCATGTAATTTACATCGTGTTACAACAACAACAACAATTTGCTCAGCTAAATAACACAAGGTCACTTCTAACTTATAACTCCGGGTGGCTATGTGGGAAGTTAGCGCGGGCGGAGCAGCCGGAGTCTGTGTTCTGCTTGTTCAACAGGTGTTTGATTAATTGATCTCCTTTAGTTACATTAGTTGCATTTCCACTAAAATTGATCCTAAAGTCTGTTTGATTCCCTCCGCTGTGGGCTCTGCTGTCCACTCAGCCCCACCTTTGAGCAAACAGGCAGCAAGAGATGCGGAGTTGCTTCCTGACGGTTCTGCTCATTATTTTTTCGATTTTCCAGAGGAAATCCACTTTCAAATCCACTTTCTTCACCAGTAGCTCACATGTTTATTTCTGCTCTGTGTTAGGCTGTTAGATTTATCTGCAGAGAAAAAATATCCAAAGTTTATTAACATAGATGATCATGAGCCTGTTTCAAGGTTGTTTTATCGCCCAGCCGTTCCCTCAGAACGGCAGTAAGTGTCGTTAACTGGCCTCCTGGGTTGTTATTCATTAACAATAGCACATATAAACAAATAATTATTTTTGGGATAATTATTGACTCTGTGACTTTAACATAATTATACTTGAGGCACAAACAGTTTGTATATACAGACACATACACACAACATCTCTACATATTAAAGCTCAATTTCTGCTGATGAATTAATGTCTCTGATTGCATTTATGTGTAAATCTGTTTGCAGGTGGTCAGGCCATTAAGCTGATCATGGAGTACGTTCCACTGGGCAGTTTGAAGGAGTATCTACCCAGACACAAAAAAGACACCAGCCTCAGCACCCTGCTCAGCTACTCCATCCAGATATGCGAGGTAACAATTTATCTTCACAGAGCTGTTTCCTCAGACCAGCTGGTACCATCAGGCGTCTTATTTCGGCATTTAACTGACTGAAAGTAAAATACCAGCCGTTAGCCTTTAGAAATTAACACATGACCACTATGTAGTTAAATAAGATGGACATTTTAGCACCCAAACTCAAGCTGTTTTTAAATGTTTAAACACTTCCTGTTCAGATACTGGTGGTGAACGGCCTTCTAAAACAGTAGTCATGTGATTTGATAAAGGTATGAACAGGAACCTTCAGTGGTTGTCGTTTATAGCGTTGTTAGTTGTTTGCTTTAAATGATTTGTTTCTTACTGGCCAAAAACACAGCTGGTCAAACAGCTCCTTTAAAAATATAACTTATGGATGAAAGCGGGGCTGAAATGTAATGTTGTAACAAATACGATCAATATGTCAGGGAAACGGTTCAGGTGTCAGACCAACATTTAGCCAACGTGGCTGGCAGTGCATCAAGTGTTTAAATTATTAGATGCTGCATCAGGTGTGCGTCCTTCAGACTGGCTGGTCTTCTCCCACCGGACGAGCTTTGTTTTTCTGCACATTTCAGTCAAAGTCACACAAAGCCACAGGCTGCGCTTCACTCACTCGAACCCGCTGATCAGTGACCCTGTTTGTTTTGTTTGTTTGTTTTGTTCTTAGGGAATGGATTATCTTGGATCTAAAAATTACATCCACCGGGACCTGGCTGCCAGAAATGTGCTGGTGGAGAACGAGAAGACGGTGAAGATCGGAGATTTCGGCCTCACCAAGAGCATCAAGGACAACGAGGGATATTACACTGTCAAAGATGAAAACGACAGCCCTGTTTTCTGGTGAGTCGAGAGGAGGAAAGAAGATGGAAGTTAGAGAAGGAAGGAAGAGAATAAATAGGATCAGAAAGGAGTTGACTGCTGACAGGCAGCATATGAACTGAGGAGAGATAATGTTGAGGAGAAATATGGAAGGTAAATGAATTAAAAAGTCCTTTAAAGCTAAAGAGCTGAAAGGACTAAGTAGTATTGAAAGGACAGAAATGAAGTAATGAATCAGGTTCTTAAATTATAATGGACTTGGTCTGTATTAACAGAGCTGCAATACTTACAGAATACAGTAAATAGTTAAAATAAATTGTAACTCTGGTTTGCATAAAGCATATTTAGAAAATTTGCCTTGAGTAAAATTAGACAGAGACAATATTTTTTTCCATCAAATACACTCATACACTAATATTTCTTGACGTAAACACAGATATCCATAAGTACTTTGCAGTGGCCAGAAAACAATAATCTGATAATGATAGGCAGTGTCTTTGTAAGCAGGTTATGCTTTATCATAACAATTCATTCTCAGTGAGCTCGTTCAGTGAACTGCACAAAACTCTGACCAGCACTGTCTAGTTTGACTATTTGATTTAATATGAATCAGGATTCTGTTACTGCTTTGCCTGTTTCTTTTCAGAAACATAACTTGGTGTGCTGTGTTTATCTGTAATACGAGCCGCCGTTATTTCCTGCTATGGACAAGTCAAAACTAAGTGTAGCCAATTAGCATAGCTCAAGTCTACGTCACCACTCCAAAAAACTGACATAACGACGGCCATAATGCCAAAACTTGAGGTTTAAAAGAAAACTTGGGGGTTGGAGGGCATCTGAAATGTGTTGTTGCCTTTTGTCTCTGGTTCATACTGCATCTGACGGTGTATAATACTTAAAAAGCATTAAAGCAGGATAGTTTAACAACCCACAACTACTGTATGTGACGTTAACATTGAATATATGAATATAAATGCCTAATAGAAACACAAGGGGAGTCTTCATGCTCTTACTCTTCGTCTTTCAGGTATGCCCCGGAGTGTCTGACGCACTGTAAGTTCTACCTTGCCTCAGACGTTTGGTCCTTCGGGGTCACAATGTATGAACTCATCACCTACTGCGACTCCTCCAAGAGCCCGATGACGGTCAGTATGCGGCGCTCTCCTTTCTTATCTTCACCCTCGCACAGGCGTTAAACAAACACTTCTAATTATTATCATCTTATTTTTGGTAGCTTGGATGATGATTCCACAGTAAACACATACAACACATACTGTACCAGTCTCGCTGAAATAAAGAACTGAATTTATTACAGCATCACACACACACACACACACACACAGTCGTTTGTATGTGGCAGATGGTGTCGGTCTTTGGCCAGAGCGGCAGATGACAGACTCCACCAGGAGCCGTGTCCAAACTCCAGCCTGTGCCAACTCTAAAGAGCTTAGTTTATCATGAAGATCTTTCATTTACATCAGGCTTTTAAAGTGCCACTGTTATCCTGACTGACCCGTAACTACTGCTGGAAGGTATTCAGTAACAGAGACCTGCGCAGGTTAAGTGAATGTTAAACAGGAGAAGAAGCAGAAGCTAAACAGTAAAAGCTCTTATAGCTCTCTATTCACGGTCTTTAGCCCGTTTTAATGTTTCATGTCTGAATAAAAATAGAGCCAGTGTTGAACATTATTTCTTTTGTAACCTGTCGTTGTCTTCTCCCACGCAGCTCTTCCTCAGTATGATTGGTAAGTCTCAAGGTCAGATGACTGTCATCCGACTGGTGAAGGTGTTGACAGACGGGAAGAGGTTGCCACGCCCCGAGGGCTGTCCGGAACCTGTAAGTCTCCCATTACCAACGCAACACAATGAGAACGACACAGATTTGATGTTTTTTTGATGTTTTATGCTTTATTTACAAAATGAATGCGCAGACAACATAAGGAAAGGAATGTGAACGATCAATCAAAATGTTTTAAGTTCTCAGGTTAGGAGCCCGTGTTCATTGGGTGGAGAGGTAAACTTAGTGTTATTGACGTTAACCTGACCACGCCTTCCGATAAAGGAAGTGCAGGTTGTTCTGATATTAAGACTTAAAGATGATATGTATAAATATTCAGCCTCTTACATTCTTTTAGTTGGGTTTGCTCGCTATCAGTCACCAACATCATTGGTCTTAGTACGGCCATCTGAAAATACTGTGCAACACTACTGTTATAATTCACGGCCATAATGTCACTTCTGTGAGACCCTGACGAGACTCCATTTCATTTTCTGAGTTTTTTACCCTTTTTACACGGAGCAGCTAAATTCTTAAAACACACACTGAGCATTTGTCATCCTGATATTAATTCAAGTGCACACAAAATGTCGGTAATAATGGAATTCCTACGGGGGTTTTACAGTATATGAGTACATTTATCTTGAAGTACAGGCTGCAAAGTGTCTAGTGAATGTTCAGCGACCCAATAGATTGGTTTTTTTTGGCTGGTAAGTGAAGCAAATCTTCCAGCCACTTGGATATTTTACCAGCATTTGGCCGCTGGCTGGTGCTAATTTTGTGCCCTGCTTAAATAAACTTTAAAATAGGGATGCTTGTGCCTGTATCAGCCTTATCAAGTAATTATTTTATATTATTTATAAGTCATTATATGAAATTCAGTCTTTCTGCTGCAGTTCAATCCTCTCTGCTTTCAGATAAAATGATCCCAGGGCAAACAGATCTTATATTTGTGGGAAAAGAGGTCGCACTGGTATCTGCTCATCCCTACTTTAATGATTCAGAACACCTCACAGGACTACCTTTGAACACTTACCTGTGCCACCTTAAGGGAAGGATAGTTGGATAGCAGCAGCAGTTTGCACTCGCACACGTAAACATGTTAACGTCTCCGACTACAGGCAGAGGAAGTAAGCTGCTGGAGTTAGAACCAAGGTTCCTACGCAGTACGGAGGTTCCACACTATTGTCCCTATTCTGTTTGTTTGAATATAAAATCATACAAACAGCACAGACAAACTGTTTACCACTGTGAGAGCGAGCTTGATGTCATGTATAGCGTGTGACTGCATGCGCGCTTGTGCACAGAGCTGCGTCTGCGTCTAAACATCACAGCTCTGCCCCAAATGTCTAATACTGAACCAAATCCGGACATCTGCAGCCAAATTAGTTTGAAAGAAAATGGCGGCCATATCTGTGACGTTGCATACCTACGCAGCATCAGAAATAACCAAATATGAAGCTCGTCTGAACATTTATGAGTTATGCAGTGACGTAGAAAAGGAAACGGACCATCTTTACAACCTTTTATGACAGTGTTCATTGTTTCCATGGATACAGTACAAGGATGTACAGAGGCTATAATAAAATACATGGAATAATAGTAAATATAGCATACATAGTCACAACGTAACAGTTCAATTTTAAAACCATTTTTTTACTTCATGATTTGTACTCGGATGTCAAATATAGTCCGTAAAATCTACCAAAGACGTCTGGAAAAGTTTGGAATTCTGAGATGGAAAATGTGTAGGAACCCTGTATAACACTTCTGGCGCCTGCAGGCATAGCGTGTTACAGCTGCAGCTTATTTCTTCAGTTGGGTTTGACATTTTCTTTCCACCTCCAGTCTAACACAACTCATGTCTGACAGGTGTACGAGCTGATGCGCAGGTGCTGGGAGCAGTTGCCCGAGAGGAGAATCACCTTTAAGCGACTCATCGAGGAGCTGACCATCATGCAGCAGCAGCTCCAAAATGACATTTAAACCTTTCCAACTGCTTGAGGCTCTGGGACTGAAGTTGACTTTGCATGCAGACTTGGGACCAGATGCAAAACTGACCCCAGATCAGCATTCGCTTGGTGCAGCTTCACAGTACTGAGAGGAGGACTTGAAGGGTCTGAGCTCGCATGAAGCCACGCTCCTTCATACTCACATATAAACCTTCCACAACTTTGGTATAAAGTCTTTACGTCCTACTCAACTATCATTTTAGTCTGCCGTATTTCTACGATTCCCTATATATAATATTCTGATAATGTGAGTACTTTGGATGAAAATGTTAATCCTTTTTAAAATCATGTAGCCTTAGCCCAATGCGTAATGTGACCTTATATCTTATAAAGTTCCAAGTGTACTTCCAAGTGTATCTAACAGATTTAACCGTCTGCATTGCGAGAAATGTCAAACTCCTGTGGACTCGGCGCTTGTGTAGCGTGCGCCAAAGGCCTTATATTTGTGCGGACTCGTGGCCGTTGTCACACTCCCTGATGGGAAACGAGCTCAGAAAGGAACTGTTTAACGCCTACTTTCACACAGTTTCAATGGTTGCGTAGGGATTTTTCTCTGAGGATGGAATCGTGTTGAGAAGCGTTTGGAAGGATGAGATGAAGAAGATGGGACACAGGCATTAACGCAGATACTGAAGATGTGGTTTTTCAACGTTTTATGCCGCTTGTTTCATGGGGAAAAAAATCACCTGATTGTTTTCTTTCAGAGAGCCATGTAATGATCTGTGATAAATGTTTGGATGTTTATTGTGTGCCAGCAATCAGTCAGCAATGTTCCTTTCACTGCGTTCTTATTGTTTTAGAGTCTGACAAACAGTTTGTCATTTTCAAGTTAAAATAGTAATTGATTTTAGCTTCTCGTCTGTTGGACTAAACAAGCACTTGGAAGAAAAGAAAAAAATCACATCTTTTGCCCTGTGTTGAGCTTTGCGAGGTCCTCTGATTGTTTGAGGTGATTCTGTTTATAATCTCCTGTTCATTAAATAATGTAATGGATCTTTAATCAGGACCTGTATGCATCTGATTAGTTACGTCTGAAATATACAGCACTTGTTAAAACGTGTTAGTTGAGCAGTAAGAGATTAAGTACCTGGGACAGACACTTGAGGGCAGCATCACTTCACTTTACCCAGTTTTGTAGATTGTGTTAAAGCCACAAATACTTTATAAAATGTCTGTTTACTATTCATATGATGCAAAAAAAGGAGCCATTTGCCATTGCTGCGGATTGTACATGGAAGGACTGGTATGGTATTCACGGTTTGAAGTGAGAAAGAATAATCACTGATTATTCACTTGGCATTTTATGTTCATTTTTTTCCAAAAAATATTATTTCATGATACGTTTCATAACTATGTCTGTGCATTTTATTTGTATCTTTTTATTTTTAATTCTCCAGTATGACCCAACATGTATAAATACAATTTCATGTGTGTATGCGAAATGGTTTGAGCAGAGGGTTTTTTCTGTTTTAAATTCATCCGTAGACGTGAGCCGTAAAATCTCGTTCAGTCAGACGTCATCACGACTTCCTCAATGCAACTAATGTAGCTTTTACCGTGAATGTTGGCAGAAAGGCAAAACAAAGGGCCGTCAAGAAGACAAAATTTGCGCTTCAGTCCACAATTTATTTAGGAATGTAAAAGACAATTCCTTCTGCTCAAAATAAGAGAAAAGAAATATATATATATTTTCAAAAAAATAAGACAGAATGGGTTATGGAAGGTAAAAGTATCCATAAATACACAATGAAAAAATAAATAAAATCAATGTTTGTTGTGTTCTGTCTGTGTCAGTCCAAATGTATTCCAATATATTATTAACTAGTGAAAACAGTTTGTTCTATATATTACAGTTGTAAGTAAGCATGCTAAGATTGCTCTAGAAACCTTATTCACAGTAAAACAATAGCAATGTCAGTGTGATATAAAATTTTGCAAAATCTACAGTATATCTCAGGTCAGAAAAAAATCCACATAAAAAGCAAAAAACTTTACAAAGCAAGAAGCACAGCAAATCTAGATTTATCTACAGCCATTAAAATCAGAAATACTTCAGTATTGCAAAGCTTCGTGATCAACACACTCACACACATATATACACAGTCATTCACTATTGCAAAGTCCAGTCTCAGCACTGACCTTGTGTAATATGCAGAATACATACAGGTACAATGGCAACGCATTTTCATGTCAGTATCAGAGTTTATTACCAAACTAAAAACAAAAGAAAAAGAAAAAAAGCGCAAGCTGCATTTACACGGAAACAGAATTGATCCTGAACTCTCCGAGGTGCAAACTGCAGCTGACTCACTAACAGGTTCCCAGCGTTAGACGAGATTCAAGAACATCTTTCACTTCCAGGGCTTTGTTTGTGCTATGTTGGTTTCGGGGAACCGGGGCCCCTTTGTGTACAATCATCATGAGGATGTCACGTCTAGTTGGTGGCACAGAGAGGCAGAAAAATAAGAAATACAAGCTTTTCTCCATCAGTCCAACCGGTCAAGAATACGCAACAAGCCCCAATAAAAAAAGGTCTGATTTCGACAAAGGTTATTAACCACAGACAAAGTTTTCTTTCCCACTTGTAGAACTATTTGTGTTTTAACCATCATACTGAAACTGTGGGAGGCAGCTTTAAAGATAAAACTGTAACATCATCTAACTTCCAAAATGATTCAGTATCCACATATTAATGGTCGGTAACTGAAGTCCTTTGTTGAGAAAAACAACACACAATGGAGATTACCAGACAAATAATCTGGTACCAGCCTCACCTGTTACACTAAACTTGTATTTCTACTTTCTTGTATCTGATTGGATGGCACACATTAGCTGTGAGAAAAGATTAAGAAACGTAGGTGATGTGATGAAACAAGAAGTGTCAACACTTTTTAATGTAACATTAGCTGTGTCCCCACTCACTGACTGGATGTAAGTATGAAGGTTGGTGGGCTCTACAGGTACCTCTGTAGACCTTCTAGCTTCACAAAGACCAAAACTAACTGGGCTTTAGGGAGTCCTCACCAACATATTAACTTAATTGCAAAAGGTCAACAAACTAATCCCAGTGTTTAAAGACCAGTGTGTAGAATTTAGTGGCATCTAGTGGTGAAGTTGAAGATTGCAACCAACTAAATAAAGCTTGGCTTCCATCTAGAGCCAGTTTAGTTTGTCTGTTCTGGGCTACTGTAGAAACATGGTGGCTCATTCTATGGTAATGAAAACACAACAATTCTTATTCTAAGATGATTATACACGTACAAAAAAACATCTATGAATATTATATTTCATTTCTGCTAATAGAGCCTCCTAAATGTTACACACTGGACCTTTAACTCAAGCTCCGACTTCACATTGATAGAACGCCTAACGCAGTATGAACACCTCACCATCTCTCCCATCAAACCACGTGTGTACTGGTGAGACTGTATTAATGTATCACAGGCCCAAACAGCGAGGACCAACGACTGAATGACGACCAAATAAAGACAAAATCAGCTCTCTGGAAAACCTGAACAAATCTGCTCACAGCCACACATCCTGCAGTTACTGTGTTCACTATCTGGGTCCATTGTGCAGTTTATCAGTTGTACTGATAGTTATTGCTGCACTGAATATAATATGAATAAACTTAGTCAATAGAAAAGGGGTCCCTTAAGGAAAAAGGTTGGGAACCACTGCACTACAGCACTAAATGTGCTATAATCCGTATCTGAAAATAGTCCCAACTAATGCACTATTTAGTCATCTTTGTATGATGTTTGCTAAAAACTACAGCGCACAGCTGTTTTAGGAGATTAAAGCCTTTTAAAAAAAACACGTCTTCCGCAGGAGTAAATAGGCTTGGGGCTGAAAACCACATCCCGGTTTATGGAAGTCAGAAAGTATTAAGAGACGGACTAACGCATTGTTGGTTTTGGTCTTTTCAAGGGATTTGTTGACAACAACAGAAACACACAATATCATCAGCCTCATCCTTTAAATGTGATTGGGGCAGATTTTGTGGGATTATTCAGCACAAAGCCGTCAACATTTTGCACATCCCGTGACTGACAGGTTT